GGAAGGAAGGAAGGAAGGAAGGAAGGAAGGAAGGAAGGAAGGAAGGAGTATTTGGCCAATTGCATATACTATATACGGATGAACATCATAGAACAGATCCAAAAGCCAGAAGCCTCAATGGTTTCCTGAAAGGCATGTACACAGCTGAGCAGCCTTCAGCGGTTGTTCCTCGCTGACCCCCTTCGACTTCCCCCCTCTCTCTGCTCTCCCCACCCTCTTCCTGGTATTTAAAAACACATTTTGAACTGGAGCCCTGCAGCCAGGGCTGAGGAGAAGGGCGGTGGGAGGGGAAGGGGAGGAGGGGAGGAGGGAGCCAAACGGCTTTTGGTTGCAAATATAGAAGGTAAAGCACGAAGCCCTTGTGAGCCAGCGGGGAGGCCTCCTATCCAGGCGCTCCAATGAAGCCTCAGCCCTGTTCCTAGGTCGGAGGGAAGGAAGGCTGGTCCGCTCGGGTGTTGGGCGGTCACTCAGCTATGCGGGCAGAAGTCCAAAGAGCCTCCCACGCAGAGCGGCTGGCTGCCAACCGGGATCATGTGAAGGCAGCGTCCAAAGGGTTGGTGCGGTCCCTGGCAAAGGCCCTGCCGTAGGGTGGGGCTGCTGGCTCCCTCAGGAAGGTCCCCACCAGACAGAATGTTCCTTTTGGTTTCTATGGCTTAGACTCCCTGGGAAGATCTGGAGCCTTTTATCCAATCAATCGGAATAGAGCTGGAAGGGATCGTTTGCACCACCAGGGTGACCCTGAGGACACAGACAATCCTCCAAGTGGCCTCAACTGCTCTCTAAAAGGATGCAAATGACCAGCTGTCTACAAGGAGTATCAATCTTTCCGTTCCCCAACATCCAAGTCAGAGCTGACGAAGCTTCTTGGAGGAGCTTCTTGGGACAACTGGGACCTGGAGGACCAAGGACCTCTATGGACTTTTAGCTAGACAATTTGGGATGAACACCCTTTGAATGGGGTGGGAATAGGAATGGATTTCCAGAGGGGAAAAAAATTCAGATTACAGGAACCATTAGCACCACTTGGGTGATCCTGTGGACACAGATAAACCTCCAAGTGGCCTCAACAGCTCTCTAAAAGGATGCAAATGACCAGCTGTCTGCAAGGAGTATCAATCCTTCCTTTCCCCACCATCCAGTCAGAGCTGAAGAAGCTTCTTGGATGAGAAGCAAAATGTCTTCAAAAGAAAAAAAACATGAAAGTCCAGGTGCCTCCTGAAAAAAAGCACCTTTGGGACAACTTCAAGGGAGGCCCTTTTAATTTGGAGAGTTGTTGGGGCCACTCGGAGGTCTATCTGTATCTTCAGGGCCACCTGAGTGGTGCAAATGGGTGTGTGGAGCCTCCTTGGAACTGCTGAAAGGAGCTGAGTTGTAGGCTGGAGATAGATGGTGTCGTGTCCCTTCCTGTTGAGAGAGGGCTGAACCTAACCCTCACTCAACAAGAGGGTAAAGGATACGACATCATCTATCTCCAGTCTACAACATAGTCCTTTCAACAGTTCCAAGAAGGCTCCAAGAGTCCAGATGATCATTGTCCTTTAAAATCTGATTCTCGGTGAACATCAATCAGAGGAGATGATGGTTGTCCTCACATCCTCTTGTCAACCTCGTCAAGAAATCTGGTTGACCCCTTTGGAGAGGAGGATGTTGGAGTTGATGAAAAGATGATCTCATTCCAAAGAGGGCTCCTTGCATGTCCTCACCTTTACAGGTAAAAGCAAAGGGTACCCTCGCACATATGCGCTAGTCGTTTCCAGCTCTGGGGGCGGTGCTCATCTCCATGACAAAGCCGAAGAGCCAGTGCTGTCCGAAGACGTCTCTGTGGTCATGTGGCCGGCAGGACTAAACACCGAAGGCACACAGAATGCTGTTACCTTCCCACCAAAGGGGTCCCAATTTTTCTACTTGCATTTTTTTAACATGCTTTTGAACTGCTAGGTTGGCAGAAGCTGGGACAAGGAATGGGAGCTCACTCCGTTACACAGCATTGGGGATTCGAACCGCCGAACTGCCAATCTTTCTGATCAACCAAGCTCAGCGTCTTAGCCACTGAGCCACCATGTCCCCTGTCCTCATCTTAGGTCAGCGTAATTATTAATCCTAACTAATGAGAGAGCTGGATTATATGTCTAGTGATAGCAGGATATAACCTTCCCCTGGGTAGAGGTTTTGGGAGCAGATGATGCGGCTACATACAGTAGTAGTCAAAACACATATCAAGACAGCATGTCTATTCTTGGAAAGATTGACATGTAAACCCTATAATAATTCAGAAGAAACCCTTCAGAACGCCCAGGTAGATTCGGACTTCTGTCTGAAAAGTGGATCAGCTGCTTTAAAAAGTCCATTTTTAAGGCGACTCTTTTAAGTAGTGTCTCCTTTATTTTTCCCAGAAGCCTGAAGAAAACTGGGCTGCTTTAATGGGACTGGAAAGAGACTGCCCCATCTCCTGGGACAATCCCAAGCGTGAAATTGGTTCTCGGTGACATGCCTGTGTTATTCAAAACAAACCCATGCAAGAAAAACCAAGCAATCAAACGGTGAAAAAAAATGGGAGTTGTGTCCTTGGCGGTCCTATGGAATCAAAAACCGTATTGTGGTCCTGTAGTCATGCGACACGGATCAGAGACAAAAGGATTTTACAGAAACACGAGGCCTTGGTTACAGGCAGTCCTTGATTTACAATAGTGTCATGTCCTTGGTAGAGTCAGACTCTGAGGGAGAGGAGGAACAGCCGACAGGGAGTAGAGGTGTGGCTCCAGAGGTTGTGGAGGAGGCTGGGGAAGGGCAAAGACTGGCTGGGCAGTCAGAGGAAGAACCAGGCCCATCCCCTCTCCATCCTAAGACATGCAGGGAGGAACAGAAAAGGGAACAACTTGGCTTATGAAAGAGGAAGCGGCCATGATTCTTCTCATTGGTTGCAGCTGGGGAGACTAGTATATAAGAGAGACGGTTAAAACACAGTGTTGTCAGAAGCAAAGCATGTTTAATTTTGGGCTGAAGTTATCTTGGTTGGAGTCCTTCCAACAGACTCTGCCTTGTTATCTCCTTGAATTTGGTAATTACTTATCCTGGTCCGTTGTGGAAATTCCTTCATTGTAGTTTGGTTTGGTTTTTTATTTCACCTCTATCTGCTCATTGAGTTCGGACTGTATTGCTTTCTTTTGAAGACTATTTTTGAATAAGTTTTATCTCCAACTGAGAATTATTGAACAGTGGGGCCAAGTTGGAGGCATTAAAGGACATTTATTTACGTTTTGGATTTTGTTACGTTTGTGTTTCACTCTGGGTCATCACAAACAGTTTGTGGAGCGGGCATTCAAAGTTACGACGGCCTTGAAAAAAAGGACCATTTTTCACCCTTGTGAGCACTGTAGCATCTCCGTAGGTGACATGATTTACACTCGGATGCTTGACAATGAACTCACGTTTATGACTGTTGCAGGGTCCAAGGGTCACATGATCCCCTTTTGTGACAACAGGGAAGCTAGATTCACTTAACAACCTTAGCAATGGCAGTGATTCGCTTAACGGTGGCAAGAAAAGTCGTAAAATGGGGCAAAACCCGCTTAACATCTCACTTAGCGTCATAAATTTTGGGCTCAATTTATTAACTGTCATTAAGTCGAGGGCAACCTGTGCTTTTCTGCATCTACTTGCCCTTGGTCCCCATATTTCATTTAGTGTCATGCTTTAGTGTTTCATTTAGTGTCATGCTGGCCACCTTTGTGAGCTACTGCTCTTCCCTAGAAGGAAATGCCACAGACCAAAAACAGGAGGTCTCCAAACATGGGATTATTTTTAGATTTGTGGACTTCAACTCCCAGAATTCCCCAGATAGTATTGGGAATTCTGGGAGTTGAAGTCCACTGGTCTTAAAGTTGCCAAGTTTGGAGATTCCTGGATTAAAACATAATCCTTCCCCCTAATTCAGTTCTAATCGCACCTAAAACTGGAACTTTTGCAGACTAGCCACCCCAAATTCTGAGAAGCGGGAATGTGCAAGAGGACATTGATGTCTCCATTTCCATGTCTTCTCTTCCGGGAAATGCTCACACTTCCTGCTCTATAGCACCAAATGCAGGATGCATCATATGGAGGCACATTGGGAGGGTTTTCCGGCAAGAGGGTTTGGCAACAATTGTTAGAAATGCACCATTCTTTGGGTGTACATGAACAGATGCGCCCACATGTCTCTTTTCTGGTTTTAGAAAGAGTCACTACTTTTGGAGAAAGGCATGATTTTGGTGGCTTTTCCTGGAGGCCTTCTTCTCGTCTCCCTATATCAGGAGTCGGCAACCTGCAGCTCTGGAGCTGTATGTGGCTCTTTCATCCCTCTGCTGCAGCTTTGTTGCTCAAAATAAGCGTCACAGCCACCAATGTGTGTGACATCCACCGGCACATGATTTATTGAGCTTTTCGACTCCCGGTAGGCCAATCATGGGTAAATTCAAGAAAAGAAAAGTTTCAGAAGAAAACAGAACATATAATTCAACTACGTATGCTAGTTTTGTGGCCGCTCAGGAAATAGGCACTGGAAGATTTTTGTGACTCCCGGTGTTTTCTTTTCGGTGGGAAATGGGTTCCAGTGGCTCTTTTGAGTGTTTAAGGTTGCCGACCCCTGCCCTATACCTTGGGTTGGGGTCTTCCCACAGTGGCTTGGGACTGCATCCGGGTGCCCACGTAAAAGACTTGGTAGCGATCCTTCCACATCACAAAACAGGCTGCGAATCCCACGGCGGCTGCCAGGAAGTTGAGGAGGAACTGGATCAGCAAGAAGAGGTAGAAGGTGTTGGTGATGAAGCCGCAGTCACTCTGGTAGGTGATGGTTCGGCTCAGGGGGTCCGCCGTGTCCAGCTTGCAGTGGCAAACTGACTCGGAGATGGGCTCGCAGGTGAAGCGGACGATCTGGGAGTAGCAGTAGGCGGCGAACGCCATGGCCAGCACACAGACGTTCAGGCTCAGTGCACTTAGGAGGAAATAGACAACCTGGGATGGAAGGAGAGGGACCCTCTTTTAATATGGGGCAAGGGATGTTCTGCCGGGAGTGACGATTGCCATTCCCAGCTGCCTCCAAGCATAGGCCAAGTTTTGCTTTGTTTTGGCCCATCAAAATCAAGACGAGAGAGAGGAGGAGAGGAAGGGAAGGAATGGGGAAGGGAGGAAAGAAGATGGGAAGGGAGGGGAGGAAAGGGGTAGGGAAGGAAGAAGAGAGGGCAGGAGAGGGGAGAGAAGACAAGACAAGACTGGAGAGAGGGAGGGGGAGAGGAGAGAAGAGAAGGGAGGGGAGGGGAAGAGAAGGAGGGAGGGAGGGAGGGAGAGAGGAAGGGTAAGAGAAAGAGAGAGGGAAAGAGGGAAACAGAGAGAGGGAAGGAGGGAGGGAGGGAAAGAGGGAGAGAGGGAAGGAGGGAGGGAAAGAGAGGGAGGGAAAGAGAGAGGGAAGGAGAGGAAGGGAGGGAAAGAGAAAGAGAGGGAGGGAAAGAGGGAGAGGGGGGAGAAGAGAAGAGACAACTGGAATAGGGAGAGGGAAAGGGAGAGGAGAGGAAAGGAGGGAAGGGAAGGGAAGACAGAAGAGAATATATCCTGATATATGGCAAGGAAAGTCTAAAAAATTTCATCTTTCTAGAACCCAATGATTTCAGAGTTAGTTTTATTTGTGATATGTGTTTGTCCCTTGACATCTTTAGGGGATTTTTGGGGGTGGGGGTGGGGGGAGTTTGCTTCTAGGAATTGCATGCATTTTAATGATATATTGTAAACCGCCCCGAGTTATCCTGCGGTTAGATGGGCGGCCAACCTATTCGATAAATAAATAAAACACCAACCAGTGTTCGTTTTTAAATTAAGAAGTTCTTATCAATCTAAATGACACACATAGATACATACATTTACATATATAGCTGAAGGCAGCATTTGTCAGTCAACTAATTTCAAAACAGCCGGTTGTGTTGTGTTGTGTTGTGTTTTGTATACTGGGATACAGGAGGGTGTAGATAACAAGTATTAATTTTCTATGATATTCTTGTATTCCTGGAGGCCAGACCTGGTCTATCTTGTACCCTCTGCCTGTGTCCAAATAGGGATCTTTAGATTTGGCTGAATCTAGCTTGCCTGCCCTCTCCTGAACACAAAAATACCCCTTGCTCCCTTCTCCCTAGTCACACTAGGTCATTGGATGGATCTTCTATTTTATGTTTTTGTCTCAGAGGTCCCATAACATCAGATTGGCATCTGCTTTCAGGTATAGTGGACTATATCAGTAAGGAGAATTTTTAACTGTTCAAATACTTCCGGCAATTAAACTAAGAAGGTGTTGGATATTCTAATTTCTGTTCCTTTATCTATTAAAAACAAAATCTGCTATAAGATACAAGCTGAATCTCCCTCCAAATTATTTAATACTGTTTTTTCTCATTGTGAACTAATGGAAGGGAGAAAGGAGGAGGAGGAAGAGGAAGAGGAGGAGGAAAAGAGGAAAACGAGGAGGAAGAGGATGAGAGGACAAGGAGGAAGAGAAGGAGGAGGAGGAGGAGGAGAAGAGGAGGAAGAGGAAGAGGAGAAAGAGGAGGAGGAGGAGAGTTTTGATAAGAAAACACCACGACCATGAGTAGTTACTAGTAGAAACTAGCTAGTTCTGAAAACATTTAAACGATCAAAAATGTTAGTTTGAAATGTTGGTTCTGGTTGGTTGACATACTGAATCTACACTTTTACCTAAATATGGGGAAAGAACCAAAGAATAATAGGAACAGGAATGTCCACTGGATCTGGTCAAAAATTCAAGATGGCAGCCGCAGCATGTGGTTGAAACGGCTTGTGGTTTAATGTTCCTTGTTTTTAAGGCAGACACAAAAAGCACACACAAAAAAACCCTCCATTCAATCACACCACTTCAGCTGCCATCTTGACTTCTTTGACTGGATCCTGCAGACACTTCTGAACAGGGAAGTAGCTAGGATCTCCACTCTTGGATTCTGGAATCTTCTCTTCTTCTAACCTTGTTCCGGCTGACTCATTCTTTCTTGCCCAAATAAAATAAAATAAAAACACAACGTACCTTGATGAAGAACTGAATGCACGTCTTCTCATCCGGCTGGTAAGAAATACACAGCATCACAAACCCAATGATGGCCACCAGACAAACCTGGAGGGAAGACAAACATTGAGATTTTAAAACTGGAGGAGACAGAAAAGAAGACCTGGCCAGACCCAAACCCTCCATTATCAGTTTAGGAGGTCAGATAGTTAGCAGAATAACCGAGTGGGAAGGGACCTTGGAGGCCTTCTAGTCCAACCCTTGCTCAAGCATGCCAGACAAATGGTTGTGCAGTCTCTTCATGAAAGCCTCCAGTGATGGGGCACCTTCCATTTCTGGAGACAAGCCTGATTAATTGTTCTCACCGTTGGGAGAACAGTGAGGTTCTAGTTCTAGGTTGCTTCTCTTCTTGATGAGTTTCCATCCATTGCTGCTTCTCCTGCCTTCTGGTGCTTTGGAGAATACATTCCTCACTCCATTCCCCTTTTTTCCCCATACATTTTTTATTTTATTTTTATTACAAACACCTTCCACTTGATGACGTGCCATCTGGTTACCAATATTTGGTGCACTACAGTTAACATTGACAATCATATTCATTCATATTCTTCTCTAGACGTATCTTATTATACTTATTGTACTTAATATCGCTATCTCTTTATCTTTCATTTTAGCTTATTTGTTTCTGTTATTCATATGTATTTACATTGATCATACTGTGGTTATGTTTAGTTTGTTTTAACTGCTGTGTCTTTTTCCTGGATCTTTTCTTTCAGTGGGGAATCAACATTAGCACATTCGTCATTCCCTTTCCACTTCTCTGGCATTGTGTCTTAACAACAGCTACAGGGATAGTCGCTCCTTAGCAACAACCGACAAAATTTCTGGAGGGTATGTTTATAGTTTGTCATCACTAGCCAACTTCCCTTGCCTAAGAAATGGAAAAAGTTGCACAAACAAAACCTTTTATGGCGGAGAAAATGGAACCGTAAATTACACATGGCTGAGAGAGAGCTATGATAGACAGATAAATATAGATAGATGAGATAGATGTGATAGATGAGATAGATAGATAGATAGATAGATAGATAGATAGATAGATAGATAGA